TTCTAAAGAAAACATAATAATGATTAATTAAAATTGAGACAAAATTCCACAAAATAATCCTAATACTAATAATAATATGAAGTGAAAAAGGATATGGATCAGTTTAAAAGTAAAGTAAAATAAATAAAAAACTTTAAGATAAAGTTAAGCTTAAAAACAATTTTTATATTAACAGAGTTACAATAAATAAAAACGAAGATAGATTAGAGATTTAACATATTTGTTATGGTGTCCCTGCTTTTATCAAAGATGTATATTTTTAATTTTTTAAATAAGTTCAATCTGTTAATCTGTTTCAATTGCTCAGGAAGATTATTAAAAAATTTAGGAGCTAAATATAAAAACGAATGCTGACTTGTGGATTTTACCATTAAAGGGACAATATATATATATAGCTGATGGCGGGTGTTAGATCTATGCGAGGTTTGTTGTGCGAATTGTTTATTGCTATGATATCTAATATTACAAACAAAGAAAAATAGTTGTTGAATATCCATAATTTTATATTCTGAGTAAAGTGCATCAGATGAATATCTAGTAGTTTTAGAATAGATAAGTTTTAAGAAACGTCATTGTATAATTTCCAATGGTTTTAAACTCCGAGCAATTACTACTTCCTCGGAGGTTTTAAATGTGTTTTTAGTGTACCTCCCCATATCAAGATTCTATACCTAAGGTGGCTTTCGACTAAGGCATGGTATAAAGTTCTCAGGTATTTTTCGGGTAATATATGTTTAAGCTGTTTAAATTTATACAATATAACTCTTAATTTGTTTGTTAAAGATAAAATGTGTAAATTCCACTTCATATGCTGGTCAATAACAACTTCCAGGTACAGTATGTTCCCTATACTTACACGGGTTTCGGATTAAAATTTTTATGAGTATTTCCAAGTAAGTACCTGAAAGTTTGACCTGTTCTTTGGGGAAATATCAACTGGTTAAATGAAATGAAAAATAATGTACAACTTTTTAATTAAATAATAATGGAGAATCTTTTGTATAATTGAGAGCAGAATTAAACTTCTTCATTAATGGAGTCTAATGTGGCTATTATAAACCTAATAATAATTTTATATTACACTGCACACAGAAAATATGGTATATGTATAATAAAAGGGTTATTTAGCTCAAATAAAACATTTTCTAACATAAAAATTTGTTCCATGTAGAGAATATCAAATGAAAAATAAAAAAATTGAACTTGCCAACAAAAATGAAAATCAGTCATTATCATCCAAAATATCATAATAGTCATCATCATCACTGTCATCACCATTAATTGTTATTATTTCATTTATTTTATTTTCACGAGTCCACCAATCTTCTATTTGTTTCTCGCACTTGGATATACAGTTCCGCCACACTTCTGGAGTTGCAATTGAAAGTGCTTTTCGCAAAGTTTCCCGAACTGCGTCGTCACTATAACCATTAGGCCCAATATGGTTGTCATAATTTTGTTTTGCTATTCCCCATATATACTCGATGGGATTAAACTGGCAATGATACGGTGGCAGACGTAAAACTTGATGACCATAACTTTCAATAATTTGATCCACAACAAAGGTTTTTGGTTTTGCGTGTATATTTGCCAAGCGTAATAATTCTGATTTTAATATATATTGAGGAAATGGTATATGTTCCTTTGTCAACCATTCTTTAAATTTATCAAAAGTTCAAGAATTCGTTGGACTTTTGTTTAATACTTCAGAATGGTAAGGTGCATTGTCTAAAATAATTACGCTGGGCTCACTTAAACCTGGGAGAAGTTTTTCATTCAACCTTTTTACAAACATTTCTGTGTTCATATTATCGTGATAGTCACTGGATTTTGATTTAGATGAAAATATTAAATCAGCACCTTCTATAAAACCCGATTTCCCTCCTGCATGTAAAATTATGTGTCGCTTCCCTTCTCCATTGGTATGTTTGATGGACTTTACATTATCATCTTGCCATATTCTCTTGGTTGCACCCCTAGAAAATATCCATGTTTCTTCTAAATATATAAAATTCGCCCCTTCTTTAAATTTAGTATATTTTCTTAGAAAGTTAATTCTCTTTTGCACCACAGAACTTCTTTCACAAAGGGCCTTTCTGTTATCCTCCTTTTGAAATTTGTAACCCAAGTTATGTATCACTAGCCACAGACTTATTCTGTCAATGTCGTCAAATTTTCTATCTATTAATTTGGTTTCACTAATTCCTAGAGCATCGCGTTGTTGTACAGACATTACCGATTTTAAAGGACCGCCATTTTCTTTTTCATCCGTAAAATACTTATGTTCACTACAAATTAGACTATCTACATCTAACACACGTCTAGGCATTTTTAAAATTTCCACTAAATTTACAATATACATACAATGTCAACACTTGCAAAGAATCAATTCAAGTGCAATATTTGTAACAAATTTAGTACCTACCCTAATGTTATTTTAATTTAAATCTGACCATTAGGGCAATTGTACCTAATTTCTTGGGAAGAGGCTTATTGGAACTGGTTGTCAATGACTAAGTTGCATAATTTTGTTAATCCGAAACCCGCGTAAGCATAGCGAACAGACTGTATCTTATTTTGCTTAACGGCAATATTTCAAATGGCTGTTCAATATTTATCCATAATCGGTTAAATGTTGGTAAAGTAGAAGAGTTGGAAGAGAAGGGTAAATAGTTCATTTTAAGTGTGTTTATTGTTAATAGTTTATACTCTAGTCATTTTTTTATTTCACAAAAATCACTCTCTACCTTTAGTTTCAATTCTTCCCAGGTGTCAGCTTGATAAAATATTGCAGTGTCATCTGCAAAACCAATTATATTTCCCGAAGTTCTTAATGAAAACATACCAATTAAATATATATTAAATAATATGGGTCTGAGTACTGTTCCTTGAGGCACACCATAATCAACCAATTCTGTGTCACTAGTAACATCGTCTACTCTTACAGCTTGGTACCTTTCCAATAGTTTTAAATATTTGTCTCTGATACCTACATCTTCTAGAGCCTTAGACAAATTGATGAAAATGCATAAACATGGCTTGCTATCATCAAGAGTTCTAATTATTTTTAAAGATAAAGCTAGAATAGCATTCTGAGTTGACATTTTTTCTCTGAACCCATACTGTCTGTCTGAAATAATATTATATTTATTCAAATAGGAAACTTACCGAACTTTAATAATTGTTTCAAATATTTTTGAAATATGACTCATCTGTGATATTGGTCGATAATTATTTACGTCTGTCGGATCTCCTTTCTTAAGCAATGGAATAATAATAATAATAATTTTTAAAACAAGATGGAAATATTCCTCGATTCATGCATATATTAAAAATATGTTTCAGCGGTTGAGAAATAAAGTTTGATATTAACTTAATCGTTTCTGATTTTATGTTATCGATACCAATGACCTTCTTATTCTTTAATTCCCTAATTGCTTTTTGTATTTCATGTTCCTCTATAGGCATAAAAAAGAAGCTATTTGGAATAAGTCTACGCATAGGCAAATAATTTTGATTTGGATTTATTTTTTCTGCCAGTTTTTTTACCTACTTCTTTAAATCTCGTATTAAACCCATTAGCTATATCAATTTTATTTGATGTTTCATTCAAATTATTTTTGACATTTTCTATAACTGGTTTACTTCTTTTTGTATGACTAATTTTTTGTATTATTTTCCACAAATGTTGTGCATTGCCTGAATTTGACTGCATTTACTTTATTTCTAAAATTTTTGTATTCAATTCTCAAATCAATATTTTCTTGGTCATTGTGAATTTTTTTAAACATGTCATTTTTTTATTAATTGAGTTTAACAAGCCATTAGTTCACCAAGGAGCTATCTTATTATTTTTTCTTGATTTGTATCAAGTTTCAGTACATTGTTGTATAGCTTTCATTGTTGATTCCATAAACTTATTTGTTGCAGTATTTGGATCTGCCAATTGATATATAAATTCCCATTTTAAATTTTGAAATTTAGTTTTTTAAAAAAAGTTACAAATTTATCGTTATTTTGTTTATATGTTTTATTATTTAAGATTATTTGAAGTATAGTTGTATAGTGATCAGTAATGTTAGTTTTAATAATTGGTAAAATATTTTCATCTAAATTGTGTCTTGTTCATAAGAATATAATATGGTCTATACAGCTTTTACTCAATCTGCTTATTTTTCCTGATAATACAATAAAAATATAAATAAATTAATGAGTTATAGGAGCGAAAGGGCTTGAGTAAGTTTATATGGTATCTTAATCCAAGATTAAAAAAATTATTATGCACCTGGAAAAGAAATCTGTCTCGATTTTTCAGTCCAGATTTCATTACTGCATACTATGACGTGTTGAAAAACTCCTTAAATAGCCAGGTATTCAGCAAATAATTACAAAACAAAGAAACTATTTTTTCTTTAAATATTTAGACACCTGCTAACTGACAATAATCAAAGCAATTTTAGAATTTATCATATACAAAGTTAAATAAACGAACGTTTCTAAACACTGATTACCCACTCGATACTCGACTAAAATGTGTAGATTAAACAGAAAGCATTTAGATATTTTCGGACGATTGCAACATCATTTACTTTTAACCTTAAGCAAATAATTCCGGAACAAATTTAAAAAAGTTGCGTTGAGGAATTGTAGCTGTTTTACATTGAAATAAACTTGGCAATTTATGCGAAAGCAGTTCTTGCAGTTTTGCAAAAGACATCAAGAATGTGGCCACGGCATGTGATCGTTGCATAAGGTTGTTGATTAAAATAGTTTTAAGTCTTAAATAAAGTATCAACGTTGTACCTAATAAAAGATTTATCTTTAAACAATTGTATTGTACCCTAAGATGTAAGAAAATATGATTTTGTAATTAAACAAATATAGGTCAAACTATAATTTTGAAAACGTGCTCCCATCAAGGATGTATTACCGTTAAGGCAAAACAGTAAAATTGAATATTTTTCATATAAAATGATTTTTAGATGTTCTAGAATCATTACCTTTTTTTTTAAATTAAACACTACACAAAAATGCTATTAAAAGCATGAAAAATCATAATACCCAAGTTGCTAACAACACATGACACCCAGACAGATGACGTGACGTAGGTAATATTTTCAATTTTCATGTACAACAAAAATAAAACTGATAATAAAGATAGATAAATATACTTTAAGCTAGAGTAAAGAAGATGCCCATACAAAAATGTTGATATCCTAATCCTATTAAATAGTATGTTTTATTATGTTGGCTACCTTTACAAATTTAGCCAATTTTTAGTTCGTCCGTTCAACCCATCAACTTACTTTTGAAGTATATTAATTTATCTTTTCTATCAGAACGATCAGAATCATTATTTAATTTCAATATTCATATACATATAAAACAGAATGAAAGATCAAAAGTGTTGCAAATAACCCCTTCTAGAAACTTTAAGGGCAATCTTGTAGTTTGTGTCGCCAAGTACAATATGCGATATGTCTTTCCTTTACTTTTACATGTTAATAGCCTCGCACTCTCTTTTGAACTCTTCTAGGCATTCTACGTAACGTTTCCCACGGGCGTACTACGATAAGTTATATTATTTTTTATTAATAACGCCCTATTTTAATAGTTATTAATATTGGAACATTTGTTTCAGCTGCGTATTAATCAAAAATCATTTTTAAGTGATTTTCTTAAATTAGAAGGTGTCGTAGTTGAATTTAATAAGTGTTAAATTTAATTTTGATATTCCTTTTTAGTGCATTTCGATACGCACGTGTGGGCGCCACAATGTCAAATATCACCTCGCTATGCGGCTTGATTTTGTTGATTAGGTTCTTTCGTTCGCTATTGGTGTAGTGTCCACCAGTGTAAATTACACCAGTTACACCACCTTATTTACCCTAATTTACTTCCTCCTTATTCCTTATACACATCGTCGAGTGTAATTCACTCCTGCTAAATAGCTGATGGAGAAAATATCCACCAGTGTACACCACATCGCCGACAGGAAGGTATAGTGGGTTTTACACCGGACCAAACGAAAGATATGGGTGTGGGTTGGTGTCAATCAACTGGAGTGGGGTAGAATGCTTGTCAATAGGCTTGAGATGCGACTCTATGGGCAAAGACAGGTTATTTTTCATCTCACTCGGGAGTATTTATAACAACCATTTTCTATTTCACTTTGTTATTGTCTGATCCACCAGCTTGTGGATTGAACAATAACAATGTGAAACAGAAAATGGTTATTATAAATACTCCCGAGTGAGATGAGAAATAAAAATGGCTGCGCCCATAGAGTCGTATCTTGTTTTATTGATACAATATGCACATTGGCTTTCTACCCCACTCCAGTTCATTGGTTGGTGTAGTTCATTACTACACCCAACTACACCAGTGGGACAAACGAAAGAACCTATAGTTCAGTGCAATTGAGGCATACCGAGTGCACTCTGACATTGCGTTCGGTCTGCCAAGTTCCTTTAACTCCTTTAACACTTTTAACTCCAAACGACCCTTTTAGCGTTCGGTTTAGTCCGATTAGTGACAGTTTGACACGCTTAATTGTCATTTAAAAGCACCCTAAAATTTGTCCCGCTCCAGCCCCTGACTATCCGAACTCGCCTTGAGTACATCTAACGCCAAACCGAAATTCCTTCCTCCATGCCGAATTATGCTGCGTTTGAGAATCCACATCGGATGCATTTTTTACATCTCGAGCGTTTTTTTATCCACATCGGACACATCTGTCCCATTACATTTACTGCTGCGTTTGAGAATCCACATCGGATGCATCTGAGATGTAAAAAATCTTTGATCACGTGATTCAGTATACGTAAATGTAATGGGACAGATGTGTCCGATGTGGATAAAAAAACGCTCGAGATGTAAAAAATGCATCCGATGTGGATTCTCAAACGCAGCATTAGTATACTGAACCACGTGATCAAAGATTTTTTACATCTCAGATGCATCCGATGTGGATTCTCAAACGCAGCATTAGGCATTCCAAACAAATGAATTACCAGTGGGCAGGTTTGGTATATCTAAGGGTGGCGACATATGGTGTATTCTATCTACTTTACGTAAAATCATGAATAATGGATTACATTTAAATATTTTATGTCAAACACAATAAAAATAATATTTAAAAAACCCACCTATACATTTTTTCATAAATTGGCAGGCTTGGCGAGTACTACTTCGAATAAAAATAGTGTCCAAGTTGCAAGACTATGTCGCTACCCTCTTAAATATACAAGAATTTCCCACTGGCACCTATTGTTTGACAGGTCGTTGGAATGCCTAATTCAGCCATAAAGAAATTACTTTGACAACTGACACAAGACAAGGTGCGCGTCAACTGTCAACAAGTAACAAGTGTTCTGTGGCGTCACCGGTCTAGAAGAGAAGCCGTTAAATTATTTAAAAATTTTAAAATAGAAAATATTGACCCAGTATAGATCCCAAAAAACTTTTAAATGGAAAGAAAGGACAATAGTGATTCAAAAAAATATAGATTTTACAGAAAACCATCATTGAGAAGGAAAGGTCCAGAAATAAAACATACAAAGACGAGTTTAGCTAGAATTTTAATAGCGAATCCGCTATTAAAAAAAAAATTAGAAAATGAAGACCATAAAAATGAAAAAAAATTAACCAACATAAACAGAGTATCTTTTATAAAAACTCGTGGGCCAACCTGTTTAAATTTAAAAGTGCCTAATTTTAGTAACATAAGATTGTCAATAAGTGATTTTAATAAACAAATATTGTCTTCTACAAGGATTCTTGAAGATGACGTATTTGTGTGTGATAAACATAAAGAACAAACTCAAAATAATAAAGTGAGCTCTAGAAATATTGAAAAAGAAAACAAATGTCCAAGCAGAAAGTCTCTTTCATCAAAATTTAAGGAAAAAAAGTCTAAAGAAATTAGGGCATTACTGAAAAATTCGAGTGGAAGTACGAAAAGACGGTCCCGGTCCCTGGATAGCTCTATGCTCCCAAGTAAATAAATTTAAATTTTAACATTTATTAATATATGTTTGGTCATTATTTGACCTCTAGCATGGCAAAGTAATAAGCCAGACTTCTGCTATTTTTTTTTTTGGCAAATTTTTTGTTAGTTAAGTACCTCCTGCTGCTACCGAGAAACATTGGCTTATTGGCTATGCTTACTTAATACTTAAGCTAGCGTAGGGTGACCATATTTCTTTTGACCCAATTCGTCACTAACATGACAAAGGGGTGTATCAAAATATCTTTGATTTGAGTTAGGTCCATCAAAAGGCGTTTTCGGTATTTATATATATAATATATAGGCATTGACACAACATTTTGTTATTAGCATTTTTTCAGTAACTTTTAAAGTTAAAAAATCCAGATTGAAGTTAATAAAAATCTCTTATGAAGTGACTATAGCCAATTTGTTTGGGGCTATTTTTCAACGTCAGCAAGTGAAGCAGTGAGAACTCACTTCCCAAACACCAATCTTGGTAACTACACTACCATACAAACTTGGAATTCTTTCTTCTTTAATGGAACTATACAAATGTATTATTTCATCATTAACAAATACTAATTCAGTTGGCATAGATTGTATTTTAACCAAAGTTATTAAAGCAATTAAAAACTGTATAGCAGAACCTCTAGCACATTTAATTAATTTGTCAATAGAAAAAGGAACCTTTCCAAATGAGTTAAGGATAGGCTGGTGTAGTGTCTCCAATTTTTAAAAAAGGTGATCATACTAATTTAGAAAATTATAGACCTATTACGGTAACTACTGTTCTGTAAGGTTTTTGAAAAATGCTGTCCTACCTAATCAAATTTAAAATTGTAACATGGTTTTTTGCCTGACGGAAAGTGCTTTTTTACCTATGTTTATAATTAACTTCATAAGAGAAGATATGTGGGTGCCATTTTCTTCGACTTGTCAAAAGCCCTTGATAGTATTGACATTGATATCATTATTCATAAAGTATCTGCTCTGGGCTTTAGAGGAATGTTCTGTCAGTGGCTTTCATCTTATCTAAACTATAGAAAAATCATTGTTAAAATGAAAAATTATATACCTGAAATAAGAGACATTGAACGAGGAGTCCCCCAGGGATCAGTACTTGGGCCACTAAATTATATGCCACAATATCTTTCTGCCAATGAATTCACAAACTGGTGTAAAAGGAATTCTTTAATCCTGAATGCAAATAAAACTTTATGCATGCAATTTTTCTCTAGAACCAGAATTACTACTGAATTTCTCATACAAGTAAATGATGATTTTATTCCTTTGTCAAATCAGACTAAATTTGTTGGAATTTTTCTTGACAGCAATATGAGCTGGGAATCACATATTGATTTTGTATGTAAAAAAAATAGTGCTTATGCCATCCTGCAATTAAAGAGTATTTTGGTTACAAGTCAGATTCTCAATGTATACTATGCATTGGTATATTCTATGGGGAGGACCTGTTGAGGTTTCACATGTTTTTATTTCACAAAAAAGAATAAACAGGCTTATTTTTAATTTAGATGGCAGAACTACTTGCAGCACTTTAAAAAATATAAATTACTTAATTACTTCAGTTTTTATATTTAAAACTCTTATGTACATGAAACAAAGTATTTCACAATTTCCCTGAAACTTAGACGCCCACCATTATCTTACTAGAAGTGGAAACCAATTACATATTCCAAAACATGCCTCAGCTTTATATGAAAGAAATCTACAATACATCCGTGTACGCCTATTCAATCATCCCCCTCTCTCTATTAAAAACATAGTGACTTGCTTATTTAAAATCAAACTGAAACAGTACCTAATAGAAATATATCCATATAGCCTTGAAGAATTTTTCTTGTAATTAATGTTTTCAATGTTCCATTACACTTTTTTTTGTCAATACTTTTTATTTCAATTTAACATAATTATTCTCAGCTAACTGTATTTACCTATTTTATATTTTTAAGGGTTTTACTTTTAATTTGTATTTTCTTGTAGTTATTATTATATATTTGTGACATTTCCTATATCATGTAAATGATCTTTGAGAATAAATAAACTATCTATCTTTAAACTGTAATTACTCAAATATTGTAATTTTGTACAACATTTTAGCTCCCCAAACACAAAAACGAAGTCATTATTATGTTTTTGTCTTATTTGTTACCTTCAGTATATTATTATATTACATGGACAGACTAAAAATGCTGTACAATACAACGAAATGCTGTATGTATGGTCACCCTAAGCTAGCGTGGCAAATGTTACCCAACTAGGTAAGAAAAAAAATTATCTGGCAACACTGACAGAGGCAATTTTGTAACAATTTCAAATAAGTGACAACACGTTGCAGCATTTTTTTTTCTCCTTGCCAGTGTGATAATTAGTGTTGATTGCAACAGCAAAATGTTTCAAAAAAGAGGAAGTTCTTCCAATATAAGCACAATTTTTTGTCAAAACTATTTTGCCATTCAGTGGAAGGATTTATAGTGCGATAGCCAGTGATCATCAGACCTAGGTTATAGTATGATGGTTAAGTTTTTTTTTATGTTTGTGCACATTATAGTGGATAATCTTTTGTTTTGTAGATAACTGGTCCTCAAGGTACCAAAAAATGTCTGGAAAATACATTATAATATGAAAGCTGATTTTTTAATATGTTCAATTAGATGACATAATCTCCAATCAACAAATGTTACACTTTTTGCGTGGGTTGAGTCTGCCAGAGGCTTTCAAGGTGTCGAAAAATGTCTGCACTTTATAGAAAACTTTTGTATTGTTAATTTCTCAGAAAATATTACTATCGTACGAGGGAGGTAAAAAATATGAATTTAGCTCAAGAGTAAACAACCTTTATTTTTGAAAACAGAAAAATGTTACATGAAAATCTTGTTTATAAAATCATTATTTATCTAACCAGGGGCGTGCGGTCCATGGAAGCGGGGGAAGCACCACTTCCCTACACTTTGAGATTTAAAAATACATATTTTTCAGTTTACAATGCATAGAAATTAATATTAAATTAGGTACTATATTTTCTCTGAAACATTACGTAAACTTCGTAAATGTACTAACAATTCATTGTTGTAATGTGTAAACGCGCGCACCACCCATGAGAAAATTAATTGTGTAAACGCACACACCATATACTTCGAAGTCCGTCGGCGGAAGCGCGTCTTGAAAAAGCCGGCTCATCGTCCAATTGATTTCGCTTCGTGTTATTGACCCGCTTTGCCGCGACAGTAGTCAGTCTGTTTGTACACGTGAAATACGATCGAGAGGCAGCGATTCTTACGTCGCCTTACACATATTGCAATTCGCACCGCGAATCGACGTGTGAGGAAAATCGTAGATTTCGGTTTGTTTTTCGTAGTTTTTTTTTTTGTATGTCATCGGCTTCAACTGCTAAGGTTATTTCGCCTCGTGTTCTGTGTAGGCTTTGTTACTGTTTCCCAGCGCCACTTTAGGAACAGCACTGTTAATTAGAACCCAACAGTGAATGGTCGAGTGGGGAATCCTACTAAGGCATCAGATTTTCGTAGTTGTTTTTCTTTTTGTAAAATGGAGGAACTATGCACTGTGCCTGTGAACAATAATAATGTGGTAAATTGTGTCTCTATTGTGTGCTCTTTATTGAAAAAAGGATTTTCAAGTAGAAATTTTGAAGAGAAAATGGACATTATTAATTCTAGTAGACTAATGGATCCTATCAATTAGATACGAAAGTAGAAAAGTCAGCAAAGAAATTTACCAGGCATTTTCACGTAGAAAAGTATGAATGGTTAACCGGCTGCAAAACTTTGAAGAAATTGTTTTGCTGGCCTTGCCTACTTTTTAATATAGCTGAAAAAACACATTGGAACTCAGTCGGTATTACAGACTTGAATAATTTCCACAAAAGTGTAAAACGATATGTAAATAGCAAATCTCATATAAGTGCTACAATTAAAGAAAAAACATTCGGGACCTATCGCATTGAACATAGTTTGGACAATCATTTAAAAATAAGCAACAACATTCACAATGAAAGGGTAAAAAAATAGGGACGTCTTACAACGATTAATAGATGTAACTTGTTTCCTGGGAGAGCATGAACTAAGTTTTAGGGGTCACAATGAAGCAAGTGGATCCGCCAATCGAGGAAATTACATGGACCTTCTAAGTTTTTTAGCAAAATATGATGATACCCTAAAAAATTATTTTATTGATTCGACAACTTTCTGAGGTACCTCAAACAGAATCCAAAATGATTTAATTAAATGCACAGCCGACGTTGTGATGGATCACATTAAAAGTGAAATTAAGAAAGCACCTTTCGTATCAATTTCGCTTGATGAAACCACAGATGTAGCAAACTTAAGTCAATTTATCCATATGTTGTGCGATTCTTAGGATTTTTGGACGTCACTAGCGAACGAACTGCAGATGCATTGTTTAAAATTGTTTGTGACATTATTTCAAGTTTAGAATGTGGTTCTAAGCTTATTGCCCAGAGCTACGATGGTGCTGCCGTAATGACTGGCCATTTAGAAGGCCTTCAAACTAAAGTGAAAGAAAAGTTTAAACATGCAATTTTCGTTCACTGTATAGCACATAGACTTAATTTGGTTTTATCACGAAGCATGGATAATATTAAAGATTGCAAAGTTTTGTTTTCGACGCTTAGTGGTTTGGCTTCCTTCTTTTCAAAGTCATCGAAATGAACTTGCGCTTTGGACATTCACGTTCAAAAAAGGTTTCAAATAGTTGCTCCGACGCGATGGAACTACAATGGACGTTTAGTGCAAACAGTGTTTCAATACCATGATTCTTTGATACACTTTTTTTCAAGACGTTTGGGATAATAAAGAAACATGGGATGCTGAAACTGTTACTGTTGCTAAAGGGTATTTGCATTGGCTCAAACAAAACTTTGATTTCAATTTTTTGCTCAACATTTTTGCAGAGATTTTCCCTTTTACTGACATTTTATTTGAAATTTTACAGACAAAGTCAAATGACATTGGCTTTTGCATTAAACAAATTGATGATTTTAAAAATAAAATGAATAAAAAACGAGAGCAGTTTGAACACTTTTGGAATAAGACTTAAAGAAACTGAATGAAAGAGAAATAGAATTGATAATGTTGGCGACAGAGAGACCTCCTATCGTCGATTATACGCCAAAATGTTTGATAATATTTTACAACAAATGAACTCTCGATTTCAAAACTTTAACGAATTAAAATTTGTTGAATTGTGCAATTTTAATATTAGTAACTACGATTCATCAAAATTTCCATCGGAAGCTTTTAATTCACTAAAATTAAATTATGGAATTTTTTTCGATATTCCAGCATTAAAGTTCCAGTTAAGTGTTGTTTATGAAACAACTGAAATTAGTGATAAAAAGACGCCCATCAATGTGTTAAATTTTCTTATAACAACTGGTTTAAATAAGCCCATTTGTGAAGTTGTCATGTTGTGTGAATTAGTACTAACCATCCCAGCCACAAGTGCGTCAGTTGAGCGAAGTTTTTCAGCTTTAAAGCGCTTTAAAAGTTTTATACAAAATTCAACAAGTGAAGACAGACTCTCTAATTTAGCCCTAAATATCCATTGAAAAACAGCTTGTTAAACAGTTATCAGAAAATCCAAAACTTTACGACGATGTTGTAGACAAATTTGCAGCCATTGAGGATAGGCGAATAGATCTTAAGTATAAATAAATGTCAACTGCTGTGTCAACTGTGCGGAAAATGCTGGAAAAAATAAAAAAAAACTGCAGTTAAACGTTTTTTTTTTACGTTTAAATAAACCTAGGAAGCTTTTAAATGGTAAGTTTTTTATAGCTTCTAGTACTAAACTAGATAATAAAGTAATAGTAACACTTCAAAAATCTCAATCTCGAATATCCGTAGTACTGCGGAAAAAAAGCAAGATTTTGACAAAATGGTGAATGCGCCGCGAAAAATTTCCATCTGCGGCGCTGTGCTTACTGGCCTGCTGTATTTTTATACAATCGCTTCCCCTTCCAAAAATATCACCGCACGCCACTTATTCTAACAAAAAATCTTTACTATGTGTGAGGCTTGTAAAGTCTCGGAAATACTCAAAAATCCATTATAAGTATTCAACAAAATGGTGAGACGATTTAGTGATTAATCAAAAACTTTAATCGTAAACGTAGTTTTGTATTTTAAGAGACAAATCTATTTGCGACGCTCTTGGAATGAGGTACAATCAAATGGCTGCAGATGTATTTCAGACTCGGTGGGACAATTATATGTAAGACACACTAAAAACATAATTGGGAAAAATACAAGCAATTAGATGTTTCTAATCTAGAACCAATTATTATTAAGTAAGTAGTGATGAGTCTGAATCCGAGTCCAGTTGTGAAGAAAATTATATTGATTAAAAACATTTATATAAATATTTTCTGTGTCTCTTGTTATAATATATTTTTTTAATAAAGAACCTGTGTCACGAACTTGCACCTGTTTTGAACCCTAAAAACCAATGTTTAGCTGGAAAATGTATCTATAAAGCATGAAAGTAAACTGTTCTATTATTTGTAGACAACAAGTAAAACATAATTTATTTTTTCAAAGTGACTTCTTGTATTTGTGTAAATGCACCTTAATAAAGTTTACGCTGCTAAGTAACAACAAAGCACAACTGAAATAAGACAGGTGCAAATAAAAATGCGATACTCTTTTGTCAGAGTACTTGGGGTATTTTTATCACTATACTGGCTTTTAGATTGTGTACTAACTTTTATCAAGAATAACATTTTCTGAAAAATGAACAAACAAATATTTTTCTATAAGGTGCAGATGTTTTTCAGCATAATATATACAAAAATATCCTTTATGGTCTCCCAAAAATTTGAATATCTTACTGACTTCACTGATACGCTCAACTAGGACTAATGCGTTTTTTTTTCAGCCAATTGTTATAAGATTGAAGAACAGTACACACTAGAGGGTATGTCTCAAGCCCATTCCGAACAGAATTTTAGCACTATGCTGGCACACACTGACACTCCTTTCAGGTAAATGAAAAAAAAGGGTTTTTGTTAGCAACATACAAAAAAACTGTTTTTCAGATGTTCTGAAGAAATTGATGAAGAGAATAAAGAAAATGTTGACATAGGTTTAGTGGATGCTGACAGTTATGAAAACCTTGTAATACGTAATCCATACTAGTGCAGTTTTTACTTAAATACCTTCCTGGTATGGAAAAATGTAAAGTACAATTTGAGTCAATGAGGCCATAAAAATTATAAAACCCTAGGAATAGAACCATTTTCTTTTTATTCTTCTAGCGATTTTTTTTTATTTTGTCCTATTACACATTTCTTTATAGAATGCTTGTTATTGACCTTATGTTTTAATTAATTTATAAATGTGTTAATTTTGTACAATGATAATTTATACCAAAACTGTTTTATAGTACTTGTAATGTTTTTATGCTCAAACTATGTATTAAGTCATAACAATAAATTTTTGATATTTTAACTGAGTATCATTGTTCCTTAAAGAAAGTGAGCATTGTTGACATATCGCTTCTTCTCCAGAATAGTGACATAATAAAAAAAAATGCAAATAACAGCATAAACTTTTAACAGGCATAGTTTCACAAAAATCCAAAAGATGATGCAAGTGTCATTTTTCTTAAAAATTTAATTTTAACATGATTTAATAACAATACATTAATTCAGTTGGTCAGTATTATCTAAAGGTATGTTTACATTTGACATTTATTGCATGAGATTTATGTCTGACACTCAAACATATATCTCTAGAGAGAAATTTTTGTGTGTTTACACTGGACTAAACAACTGTCAGACATAAATATCATGCAATAAATGTCAGATGTAAACGTACCTTAAGGAGTGAGCTTGTGTTTTGTAATATTGACATATTATTGAAAGCAGTGTTGCCAGAATATATTTTTGTAATGTACCAGATTTATCTAAAAAATGTACCAGATTTCATAAAAATGTACTAGATTCTATAAAATTACCAAATTTTTCTAAATATGAAGTATGGTCATTAAAGAGCAAAAAAAGGTTTATAGAGAACACGAACACGACAATTTTAAACAATATATTATCTCTCGACAAATTTCTGACACTATTTTATCTCTCAAGCAGTTTTTGAATAAGATATTTTAATACATTTTGATACTCTTTTATCTCTCGAACAGTTTTCAAATCTTTTTTAATCTCTTGAGCTATTTTGAAACAATATTTTATCTCTCGATAAATTTCTAACAGTATTCTATCTCTCGAGCAATTTTTAACAACTTCTTTTATCCTCCGAGCAATGTTTGTACAACATTTTTTGTAAAATTTTTAACATTATTTAGTTACTCAAGCAATTTTTAATAGTTTCGTTATCTTTCAAGCTATTTTTGAAAAATATTTTACCTCTCGATAAATTTCCAACAGTATTGAATCTCCCAAGCAATTTTTAACAACTTTTTTTTATCCCTCGAGCAATGTTTGTACAATTTGAACACTATTTAATCACTCGAGCAATTTTTAACAGCCTTTTTTTACCTTTCAAGCTCGTGTAATTTTTGAGCAAAATTTTTGAAAAAGGTTTTAACACCTTTTGATAATATTTTATCTCTCGAACAGTTTTTAAACAATTTAAAACAAATTTCTAACAGTATTCTATCTCTCGAGCAAATTTTAACAACTTTTTTATCCCTCGAGAAATGTTTGTGTAAAATTTTTTGTACAATTTTTAACACTATTTAATCACTCAAGCAATTTTTAACAGCTTTTTTACCTTTCAAGCTATTTTTGAAAAATATTTGATCTCTCGTGCAATTTTTGAGCAAAATTTTAATAATTTCTTACACTATTTTATCTCTCGAGCAATTTTTATCAACATTTTTTACCTTTCTAACAATTTTTAAACAATATTTTATCTCTCGAGAAATGTTTAACAGTATTTTTAATCCTCGAGTAATTTTTGAATAAGATTTTAATAACTTATGAGTCTATTTTATCTCTCGAACAGTTTTTAAACCTTTTTTTATCTCATGAGCTATATTTAAACAATATTTTATCTTTTGATAAATTTCTAACATTATTTTATCTCTCGAGCAATTTTTAACAACTTTTTTATCTCTTTAGCAAACTGCTCAATATTTTAACTCTCGATAAATGTTTAGCAATGTTTTATATCTCGAGCAATGTTTGTACAATATTTTATCTCTCGAGCATTTTCTAATAGTATTTTATCGTTCGAGGAATTTTAAAACAATGTTTTATCTCTCGAGAAATTTCTAATAGTAGGTATCTCTTGAGTCAATTTTGAACAATATTTTTTATTTTAACAAATTTTTCAATAGTATTTTATCCCTCGAGCCATTTTTAAAAAATATTTGATCTCTTGTGAAATTTTTTAAACAATGTTTTATCTCTCGAGAAATGTCTACTATTTTATCTCTGAAATAATTTTTAACAACTATTTTAATTTGGAAACATACGCTGAGAAAAGTACTAGATTTTGTTTCGAGTGTACTAGAGTACCAGATTCTCAGAGAATGTACTAGATCTAGTACAATTGTACTAGACTGGCAACACTGATTGAAAGTGTTGTCAAGACAAATGTAGTATTATCAGGAAAAAAGAGGACATGGGTGCTGAAAAAGCTGGCAACAAGGTGTTTAGAACGAATGAATATACAGGGTGATTCGGAAGGAAGTGGACATGTCGAGGAAGCCAAAATAAGCTCATATGTTTAAGTCCGATTTTCATTTGTTTCAGAGGTATTTTGATTATTTAAAAAGTAAACAAAATTTCATTACAAAAATAAAAAATTAGCATTAATTTACATCAAATTTTCGAAAACACCGTCCACTTCGATGCACTTATTTGGGCGTTTATAAACTGCACTAGTAAAGAGTTTCATTGAACGATTGTTCGCTCTAATGATAGCTGCTGCAGAATGCGATCTAGTAACGCTTCCCTTGTTTCCACACAAAAATTGAGGGGAGTGAGATCCAGTGCATAAGATCAGTGTGTATGGGTATTTAAACTATTTACATTGATGAATTCCTACGTTGGTCGAAACATATAGAAGAAACTGCTTCTAAATTGAGAAATATCATGGAATAAAAATAACTAGTAAATATTTAAAAAAAGAATCGGTGATGTCTCTCTGCTTTGCTAGTTTCGAATCTGTTCTTAGATATGGAATAATTTGTTGGGGCTCTAATTTCACTGCTGAAAAAACTATTTATTATCCAAAATAGAGTTATTAGAATAATTAATAAAATGCATTCCAGGGACTCATGTAAGACAATATTTAAAGAAACAATTATGACTTTTTATGCAATTTACATATTTGAATTCCTAATGTACTTATTTAAGAGTAGATCAATTTTTGATTCCTGTGTGGTTAACATCGCTACTAAACAAGAAATTTAAATCTGAATTATCCATCGCATAGATAAGCTCTACTGAAAGGTCCCCTTAGCAATTAAAAATTGTACAACTGTTAACAAGTTCAAAAAAATGTTAAATTTAGAACCCTATATAGTGTTAATGATTTTTTAAATAATCAGTTTTAATTGTAAGTCTGTTTGTAATTTATTGGAATCTATGTATTTTTACACGAGTTTTTGTATATGACGTCATTTTATTATATGTAAATAACATTTTCTGAAATAAAGATTATTATTATCAACGTACGTCGTACCAGGCAAACAATTTATGCAATTTAACATTTAAAAAAAAAGTGATTTATCTCTAAAACAAATAAGCTCATTTTGGCTTCCTCGATATGTCTTTAAAATATTGCCACTTTATTCGAATCACCCTGTATAATTATGCAATTTTAGGATGATGAATGGGACTGTATTCTGTATTTTTTAGAGGACATGTCAAATTTATGTGGTGTCAGATTTTAGCGTACCGCCGCCATCTTATCGTTGCGTAAAGCCAACTGTTCTTTGTTTATTACCGTACCCGCGACAGGAATTCTAGCGCTGGCCATAACGAGACCTATCTCGAGAAACCGAATCGAATGTTTTCCATCGCAGTCTGACTCGAGGAGAATAATTTCCAGAACTTCTAGTCAGGGTTGGTTCTTTCGCGAGTGTTACATTTTTATATAAATAGCGCGACTTGTCGACAGACGTGAAGATTCAATTTAAGTGTCGGACAGAAAAAATAAATAATAGTGCCTAAGTTTTAAATAAATTAATTAGGCCTTTTTTACATTGTCGATTAATAAATTTGAGTATTCATAAAAAATATCTCGCCTAAACCTTTAATAAATAATCACAATAATTTATACATTTTTGAATAGGGGAAGAAAGGAACTTTATGATGGTATGAAAAAAATATAGGGTGTTCTATTTAAAGTAAACCGATAATTTGGCTTAAAAAAGGCAAATTATTTTCCGGCAGTTCAGGAAAAAATATACATTTTAACTATGTGTTAACATCTATATTATTTAGTGACATTTATCACCAGTGTGACACCATAATAAATGGGTCAACCACCAGTCAACCATAAAAGACAATTAATTTGAAACACGATACTGTTTGTGCCCAAGAAATAAATGTAACAACACATGGCCCTTAGCCATGTGTATTCAAAAGATTAGGAATGGTAACAGATTTTAGGGCAGTTCGTTCGAGCGACAATTAATATTGTTAAAATAAATACGGAAATAAAAGTACATTTAAATATATTTTTTTAATTATTTCATTAATAACATATGTCAACAAAAACTTGAAGCGATAAAAACAATAAAATCGCTCTCTTGAAACATGTTTTTTTTATTGTCACTATTCTGGAGATGCGATGTATATAATCTAAAAGTGTAAAATATATCTTTTGTTTGCAGCCAGCCAGGCAGTGATGCCATTGCTACCGATTAATCGGTAGATCTACCGATTTTGATATTAATCTATACAAATCTACCGATATACCGATTTTTTAGGCAATCTACCGATTTTTCAAATAATCTTTGATTATATTATACATTCACTTAACATTGCATTTTACAAACGTTCTTAACACCCAACTCAACTTTTTCTTAGGTTGGAAAACAATTTTGAATTCGAAGTAATACAAGACGTCACTTTAAATTTCTATATCTTAGTGTCAACAAATACGTAACACGATGAGTTTAATAAAACGTATTTTCGAATAAGCACGATTGCAAATTTGCGTCACCTCATCGATAGTACATTTTTAAATCTTAACACAAGTTTCCTGAAATACTTAGCGTAAAAATAAAAGAGTGTATTTTACGTTTTAGCTTTTAAATACTATAAAAAATTGTGAAAAGTCCATAACTTTTAAATATTTGTTAAATATCACTTATTAAAATATGCATTAAAAGTAAAACAAACTATAGACTTTCCACCATTCTTTACCGTACTCTAAACATACACTAG